CCTACCACAACCCAAGCCCCTACCACACCCCTTCAAGCCCCAACACAACCCCTCAGAGGCACTTTGGGCTCAGGCACCAACCACTTGGGTGTTTTGGGACTCAACTTTTAAGTCCCCCACGTCATCCATCCCATCTCCCCCCACCTGATGGCCAGAAAACCAACACCTTGCACTAGGATGAGACAAGGTGGCAGAAAGAACATGACCAGACAGCAAATCTCCCACTTGAAAAGCTCCAAGAAAACATCCCAATACTCAAGATGGCTCCAAGGTCTTCTATGGCTTTTAAAGTCCTTGTTGGAAATTCCAATCCCAGCTGCTGGAGATCATTCACCAGTGATCAGCACATCAGGGAGGTTGGATGGGGGACACCTCTCAGGGGTTTACCTCACTGGAGAGAGTTTTGTTTAACTTGCCTGTGCCCCCTGGGGGGTTATACTTACATCATGCATGGAGTCAAGGAGTTTAGTCAGTTGGTAGAATCTCTGCCAGCTTTGCCCAGAGTTACTTGGACATTTAGTTACCATCTTCTTTAGCTCTTTCACATAATTTGCCCTCATTTCTTCAAATGCAGCTTGGCTTTTGAGGCCATCCTTGGGAACTGGCATTAAAAAGACAGTCTTATGTTAATATTAACTGTGTTTGATGGGCCTGCTTAAAAAAGTCACGCTAGTTAATGGGATGAAAAGAGTTCAAGCTCTAAAGCAAGGTGATTTTACAGATATGGAGAAGGAATCAACAACATCATCCAGATTTTCCAGTGATTGGAGTCTCCTCTCCACTGCTGTGACTGCAGAAGCTGTGGCAGAGGACAAGATAACATCCCAGAGACACCACACATGCCAGCCTCGTGCCCACACTGGTTTTCATCCAACCCAACCACAAAGGGGGGGGAAAAATAAAAGAAAAAAGGCAGATGGATCAAGGATTTATTTATTTTTAGGACTTGAAGGTGTGATTTCTCATTCCTGAAGGACTCCCCACCCTTGGCAGAGGAGGGGGAGGGACAGAAAGAGTTTCCAAACTGTAGGACCACGACCTGCAGTGGGTTGGACTTCCTGGTGTCCCATCAAAATCCCCACCTGCCAGAGGGGTGTTGCACAAACTGCCTAAAATGAGACCTGTCTCATACTTTCCCCTCTGAATTCCAAAAGCAAACACACTTATTTCTTCACAGCCTGCAAAGCCCATCCCACTCCAGCAGGTTCTGCCCCAACAGGAGTGGTTGAAGGGGTCAGATCTCCAGGAAAAGCCCCAGGAGGTCATTAAAACAACACTAGACAAAAATGTTCTGGTGTTGTCCTACCTGGGTGGGTTGAATGCTGCCTAAACCAGCAAATATTTCTCTGCTCTGCATCCCTTAATGCTTGGCCACAGAAGGAAAATGAACCACTGTGCTGCACAGGGGTGAGTTTATTTCCTAAGCAAGCCCAAAAGCTCTGTCAGAGCAAGTCAGATGGGAAGTTACTGATTAAAAATAAAAGGGATCTTCCCATTTATCTTACCCTGACATAACATTTGGACAGATATTGTTGGGCACATCTCTTCCCTTCCCTCTGAAATCCTGTGAACATCCCACTGCAACCACATCCTAAGCATGTCACCACTGCCCAAACAGCTCCAGGGAAGAAGCTTTAAGAGAAAGCACCTTACTGGTGAGGGAAGATCCTTCTCCAACGTGCACAGGCTTTATAGTTCTTCTCATTTTAGGGGCCTGTACTCCTAAATGCTGCTTCAAATCAGTCAGAGCCACTTTTTCTTTGTCTACTGTACTTTACTGCTCTGCCTGAAAATTATTATGCCATCACCTCAGCCAGATTATTAAGAAAGAAAGACCACAAATAAAGAGAACTCAGGCAAAACATGAAATCCTGGAGCTCTGCCCAGTGTTTCTGATTTTTTTTTTTGCTTATTAAATGCAGCAATGCTCTTGGCAAGCTTCCAAAATCTATGGTCTGTGGAAAGCAAGAAAACAATTGAGTTGTAATGTGTGGTTTCTTCCCCATGTAAATGGAGTGAAACTTCCTTGATGTGGTCACCACCAAAGTTTCAGAATCACTTGCAGGCTGCTCATCACACGACTCAAGAAAAAAAAGGTTTCCAATGAAAACAAACCTGGTGTTTTCTGTTGTCAGGTTGTGCATCAAGGCACAACCCACTTGGGAGAAGGTTGGTGCCCTTCACGGGACACTTTGTCACCATCTCCATTGCCATTTTGTTCCCCTCTCTGTCTAAGGGATGTATCTTGATTGATTCTCCCCCAAAAAAGCTCTTTTTAGTAGGTTTTCTAGTGACCATGGGCATCATCTCTGCCCCCATCACAGGGAGCTGCAACAGCTTCAGGGGGAGGGAAGGAGACAGAGAGCAGAGTCCAAAAATAAAGCTCATTTACAGGTTAATTGGCTTTTTCATCAAGACTGATGGAAAAGTAATGTACAAACTGCCTGTGTATTTATATGTTGTACTAGGATAGGGTTTTTTCAGTATTTTCAGTAAGATAAGAGCAAGAAATCTCCTCATTGCTACACAGGGCTGTAACAAACACCAAGATGTAATTCTGCATCCTCAGAAAACTCAAAGCAGGACACTCAAGAGGAAAATAAAGCCCACACTATCATTTATTAAACTTTCAGAGCCCTGGGATAGGGTTTCCCATGCTCCATTCACTTGGCATTAGAAAATTACCCATTTTTTTTATCCTGAAGGGGCTTTTAAGTGACCCAAACCAGAGGCTTGGAGTGTTGAGCAGGGATTGCTCCCCAGCTGCTGCACTTCCTTGGGACACTTTTGGGTTCCCATATAGAGGGGGGCTAAAAGCCCCTTCCCAGTCACTCCAGTGCCCATTTAAACTCCAAAACCACCTCTTGTGCTGGGACAAAACCCCTTCCCAGTCACTCCAGTGCCCATTCAAACTCCAAAACCACCTCTTGTGCTGGGACAAAACCCCTTCCCAGTCACTCCAGTGCACGTTAAAACTCCAAAACCACCTCTTGTGCTGGGACAAAACCCCTTCCCAGTCACTCCAGTGCCCATTCAAACTCCAAAACCACCTCTTGTGCTGGGACAAAGCCCCTTCCCAGTCACTCCAGTGCCCATTCAAACTCCAAAACCACCTCTTGTGCTGGGACAAAACCCCTTCCCAGTCACTCCAGTGCCCATTAAACTCCAAAACCACCTCTTGTGCTGGGACAAGGCCCCTTCCCATCACTCCAGTGCACATTAAACTCCAAAACCACCTCTTGTGCTGGGACAAAACCCCCTCCCAGTCACTCCAGTGCATGTTAAAACTCCAAAACCACCCCTTGTGCTGGGACAAAACCCGTTCCCCGTCACTCCAGTGCCCATTCAACCTCCAAAACCACCTCTTGTGCTGGGACAAGGCCCCCTCCCAGTCACTCCAGTGCCCATTAAACTCCAAAACCACCCCTTGTGCTGAGCAGAGGGTGAGACCTGCAGGGAAACCCTCAATCACAAACCCAAGCTCAGTCCCGTGGCCCCGCTGAGAAACAGCTTGGCTCTTTTTTTTGGTGATGAATTCCAATCCCTGGAATGTTTCCAGGGCTGCCCAGGGGTGGGACTTACCTGTGCTGAGCAGCAGGAGGACCTTCATGATGGTGTACTCCTCGAAGCTGAGCTGCAGGCGGACGAACTGCAGGCTGACCTGGTGCATGCCCTGGCACAGCTCGAACATGGCAGACTGGCGCATCCTTTCCCTGGGAGGAGACAGCAGCAGAGCCCACAGGAGGGATCAATATTTGGGGATGTGCCACGGGACACAGGGAGGTGTTGGAAGAGGACTGAAAACTCAACGCGCGGCTCGGCGTCACCGCCTCTGCGCCAAGGGAAGGGTGTGGGGCTGAGGAACTGGCATGACCAACCACCAACGAGGATGGAGCCTTCTGCAGCAAGCTCCATTTCCAAATTCTGGATTTCTGCTGCTCCTAAAAATGCAACAGGTCCAGCTCCAGGGAGGAAGAACCAGTTGAAATGGTTTTCCAGCCACTGAGGCTGCTGTGAATATACTACGCTGGGGAATTCTTAAGTCGAATTCTCAAGTCCAATAGTCTGGAATAAAGGAGTTTGTAACAAGATCTTGTTCATTAATATAGATTTTTGCCTGTTAAATTGTAAAATAATAAGGATACGTGACTTGCAGCCAGTTTACTCCTTTTTTTCTGTACATATACTTCGATTTATACATTTATTTTGATTTATATTCACCTCACACCTCTCTTCTCTGAGGCAGCCCCAGGCTCACTTATCCTACACACATTTTGGGGAGAATCAGGCTGGATTTTGCTGCTCTCCCAAACCACAGCAGCTCCAGCAGAGTCACTGAGAGCTGCCTGTCTCATTTTGGAACTATGATCCCTCAGTGGGCACTCAGATGAGGTGCTAGAATCGTTCAGTGAGCACCACTTTTATTTTCTCTGAATGGCTCAACAATTGTCTCTATTTCTTCAGACATTTTTTGGGGGGGGGATTGGATGAAGTTCAGCTAATTATTTTAACCAAGCCACTGCCTTTTCAACTCTACCAATTGGCTGCTGAAAGAAGACTCCCACTGTGTGCAAACAAAGCCTGACGTCACCTTCCTGGGCTTTTATTTCACTACTACCAGAGGAGATTTTATTTTCCTCCTTAAAACTCATCAAGCAGACTCCCCATTGTTCTATGGGCTTTGCACTTTTCCCCTGCTCCACCCTCTTCTGGAGACTGAGAACTTCCAGCTTTTTTTTTTTCCTCTATTTTTTTAAATTTAATGATAGTAGTAATGCCATGTTTGTTTATTTTTATCCTGCATCACGGGCTGCAGGGAGGAAAATTTTATCTGTGGCAGCTCACCTGAAAATATCCTTAAATAATACATTAAAAAATCCATTTTTTGGTTCACGTTGCCTTGCACTTTTGGTGCCATTTTACATTTTCCCTCAACATTTTCCTTTGTTTTGCTTTTATACCATTGCCTAAATAGAAGAGCTTTAGCAGCAGTCAGAGGTTTCTTTTTGGTCGAGGTTTTTTTTTCACTTATTTGGGGTTTTTTTTGGTCTGCCTTTTAAATATTTAGTCTTTTATCTACTTGCAAATATTAAATAATTATAAA